ACAAAACGCATAAAAAGGGAAGTCCCAGGAGTACACTTCCTCATCCTTTCCGCTCTTCACTGCTCCCTTCTTCCCTCAAATGTACGTTACTTAGTCAATCGGCAAAGGATCTACGCCATTTATTCCTTATATCCACCTATCCTAGTCCCCTTCCTCCGCCTCGAACGAAATCCGCGATATACCACCCCCACTTTCACCTCCCACATTTAAACTGCCGCCATCCGCCGTGGGGCAGCCCTGCCTGCCGTCGGGAGAAAAAAATTTTTACGATTTGTGTATGAGACGAGTCAGGCCGAGTCAAGCCGAGCCGAGCCGAGCCGTGCCGAGTCATTGTAATTGCCTTTTGTAATTGCGTGCTTGTTGTCTTTTTGTCGTAATTTGTCTTTTCGGGGATGGTTTTAATACCGTTTGGCCAGCTTTCGGCGTGAGGAAGACTGGCTTTTGTTTCGCGCCAATGCAAATTTGTATCTCCCTGGCCAAGTTCCACCACTCTCTCCGGCTAACTTGTTCGTCCGTTGGTCTGAGTTTTACCGTTCTCTTGTTTTGCTGATTTTGTCTTCTTTCACTCATTTTCACCCATTTTTCCCAAGCCAGTAATTTTACTGTGGTATGAAACGACAGGAACTGTCTGTTTTATATTAACTCATCGCTGTTCGGTTGCATTTGGCTGCGGGCTATGTGCTGAAATTAGTGAAATTACAGGTTGTGAAATGCCGAAGGTAATTGCTGGGTGCGGTGAGTGGCGGCCTGTTCAGATAGCGGGCGATTTGGTTGGCGATGAAAATCTCGCGTTTCTGTCGGCCGTTGAGGAGTGCTTGCCTGTTGAAGTGGACGGAAGCGGGGGAGCTTCTCGGCCAAAAGCATGTTTTTTTTTAAAAACTCTTCTGGTGGTCATCGTGGAGCGGCCAGTGTGATTAGGGCACTGACCAGCGGGAAAAGCGCTTGGGCCATGAATATGCTAGATTGCTTTCCGTGGTGGAGGAATGAATGTTGCCTTGTTCTTTCCCATAGTAATGCCTTGGGCTGTAGAAGTATGTTTCGAACTAATATCTTCGGTGCTGATCAGAATCCCTCCGGTTCCTTTCGTATCGGATTTAAGCGGTTAAATGGAGATGGTTCCTCGTACTTCTTCGTTCACCACTGTGATACTTGCAGGATTTCGAAGCTAATGTCGGTGCGGTCTTTTTGATGCGCGGGATATGTATACCAGAATTCTTACAGTTTTGTCAGGCCTCTTGGAGAGGGTGAGGGGGAAGGGGGAGGGGGGAAGGAGGGGCGATTTCTCACCTTCCCTTTTCCCTTCGTCATTAAACTCCCCCTCCTGCTTGGGCAGCTGCCAGCCCACCCTTTAATAGTCGTGCTACCCCGTCCTCAACAACGGACACTAAACTGAGTCTGACAAGACTCCGAGAGAGGGGATGGAAGGCTGAAATTTTAAGGAGATGTTCCCCGCCCACCTGCAATTTGTAAATTTCAGATTCAGCTTTCCAGGTACGTGGAGTACCCAAGTACGAGCATGTGAAAGTTTTGGAAAAAAATTGCTAGCTCGGGAACCAGAAAAATCAGGAAGCTGAAATTTTAGAGGAGGGGAAGGAGAGGCACAGGGGGTACCGAGCACACTTTTGTATAGTAAAAGAGCTGCTACCCATGCTCCTGAAAGGCCCTTCCTCCTCTCCCTCTTGGATCAGCCGATGGTCACTAGGCTTGCTTGTTGGGGGTACGATAATTGCGATGCTGTAGCGCGCAGCTATGCACATTTCTAGCTGCGTTTAAATATCCGAAGACAGAAATCCCTCCGTATTTCGCTTTCGGTAAGAGGCAGAGATTCGGGAAGTAGCCCATTTGTTACCGCAAATGCCAATAGCAACCACTCGCTGACAAGACCCCTCTTCTGTGAGCCGATAACAAGCAAGCTGTTATCCGGTTTGACTGCTTGATATACGCAATGGAAGATTTAGATGTAGTGGATAAAAATTTCGCAAGGAATAAAAAGATTTCATGCAGTACATATGCATCTTCACTGTCCCCGCATTTGACTTATCTCTCTTTCAACAGTATTACCCCTTTTGTTTAATGAAGTTTTATACTCGCATTTTTACAATTTTAGGGAAAAAGAACGAGAAAGCGAAAGGCGGAGAGGGGCGATGAGCTGCTAACGGGCCCGCGAGAATTGCCGAGAAAAAAGAAAAGACCGAAAAAAGAGAGGAAGGACGAGGTAATTTGATT